TTAAGTTTTTAGCGCTGTTATGTAGCTAATTTGATTTCGCGACATTTATAAAATTTTGATTTTCATTCTTAAAAGAAGTAATATAACTTAGGAATATGTCATTTCAATAAGTGAAATCATCTTTTTCTTATTTCAGAATGGTTTTTTCAATATTTATAATTAATTAGTGAGTGTGTGATCCTAACACCCACTTCAAAACCAACAATTATAATGTACTTTTTATTATTAAACATTTGAACCATATAATAGGTTACATGAAGGTTTATGTTTTTTTTTTTTTTTTTTGTTATAATTTAAATACTAATCAATGGACATGTCAATAATGAGATCACTAAAATTCAAATTTTGATATAAAATTGCTAAATTTAAAAAGTTTAGGTAAAACTAATACAATGTGTAAACTTATGAATTTATCACCAAAGAACCAAAATTTCATGATCGATAGGCTTGCTAATGTTTTGTAATTTAATTTACAATTCCTCCAATGTTCTTCCCTTCAAGTTGTCTGTTTGAACCTTGAGGATGAAAAAGATTTAGGTCCTGTTTGGTAAATGGTTGTTAGTTGTGTAGCTAATTGTGTTAATTAGAGGATATAACTAGTTGATAACATTAACTGTTGTAGAAAAGTGTTTGGTAAATTAGTTGTTAGTTGATAGCTGTTTTGTATAATTTCTTTTCTCAAAAAGTTAATTAAAAAAGTTGCTTGGGATAGCTTTTTGAATTTTAACATTTTTGAGTTACAAAACGCTAATTAACCAAACATTTATATTGATATTTTAACTAAATCAAACAATTAATAATGATCAAATAAGTAAATGTTGGCCGATAGGTCAGTTTGCCTTAATAAAATTTAAGATTGTTCCTCATAGAGTCTGAATTCTTCAATTTATAAATGTGTTTGTTATTTGCTATTTACTTTCAAGTTCTCAAAACGTTAAGTTAAATATGAAGTATCGTGATGCATTTTCTTATCCAAATTGTACGTTTGAATTTTGACGATGACCTTAATTAAGATAGGCTTCAAGTTATCATCGTTTAACTCACAATAGTCTATACAACAAAATTATTATTTAGTTCTAAAACGTGTAGGGATATTTACAATTATGTTTATGTGTGAAATATTAAGATTTATAGAGGAAGCTAAGATGAGTAGGATTAGTTGCTCTCTCCACACTCAAAGGAAAATGAATGATAATGGAGGTTGATATCACAACTAATATATGTTACTCCGTATTTGATAAGTCAATAGAAATCTTTTCCTTTTCATTTTTTAATTAATAAATTCAAGGTAAAAGATGATGTTTTTCATACCTTAAAATTATGTTCAAAATCATATCTACTAGGTACGAATGAGATGGCGTAAGTCTCTTCCAGCAAAACTAGAAATCTTATAAAACATAAATATGATTAGTATGTGTACGAAGTCATAACATATCCTATTTGAAAAAACTTGTGGTTAAGCAAAAGAAAATCAGATTTAACCACTAGCATAAAAGATAGCGCAAATTGTGAATCATTCCACTAACAAGTAACAACAACTGGTATTAACTTATTTTCAACCATACAAATTTATTCAATTAAACTACAAAAGTAACAAGAAATTAAATAATTGAGATAAATGTATTGACCAAATATCTCCAATTTAATATGCAAAATATAATGCATCTCACCATAATGAATACTACTCTGATTAAATAGATGGCATGTCACTATGATTCGTGTGTTTTGTTCTTTAATGAAGGTTGTGCTAGTACTTGTACTAAGTGGAAGAATGTAAGATTTTTCTTTGATTATATATATATATATATATATATATATATATATATATATATATATATATATATATATATATATATATATTAGGGCCTTAATTGAGTGGTGTAAGTTGACTTAGCTTATTAAGTGGTCTGGTTTGACTAAATAACTAGAAGTTGTAATTTAACCATACTCTGTGCCTAATATAAACCTGGACTAATATAAACTTGAATAACTGGATTGAAGGGATACAGGTTTATATTAGGCACAGAGTCTGGTTGAATAATAACTTCTAGTTATTTAGTCCAATCAGACCACTTAATAACCTAGTCAGCTTGCACCACTTAATTAAGACCCTAATATATAATATATTCTTCCAAAAGGCTGAACCCCAAGGGGCCTCTCACACCCGGACCTGACAGAGCATTTGGGAGGATGTAAATCATGGTAACTCAACTGAACATGAACCATAGAGGCGAACATGAACCATAGAGGCTAGACTATACTCACTACGCACAAGGAACTTTCAGATTGCTCCTACACTATCGCTGGTGAAACTCAATCCCTGGTCATTCTTTCAAAGTTTCACTTCTAGTTATCAAGGGAAAATCTTACACATTAATGATGCTTTTCAGCCTTTTTTTTTTTGTTTTCAGTTTTGTTTTATTTTGTTTTTCTTTTTCTCTTTTCTCTTATCTCTCTTTTTTAATCACACCGGGACAAACTTCTCAAAAATTACAAAGATGCTTTGAGAGGTTAGGTGTGTGCGTGTCATTTTAAGTCAACAACTCTAATATCATATCCACCTGACAGAATACGATGCGCTGACTAGGAAACGTGTCAATTCCAATCCATTTTCTTTGCTTTTGTGGTAATGGATAAGATCTCAACGGCTTGACCAATTCCTCGTACTCCCAAAACAAATCCAACCGCAAATTAAAATCCCCTTTTACAATTTCACTACTTTCATATTGCATTTTTTTGGGAAAATGGCACTTTTTTCCCCTCTGTTATTACTTATAGCACTTTTTCCCCCTAAATTATTTAAGTGGCAGTTTTTCTCCCTGATATATTAAATGGACATATTTACCCTTAAAATAAATATTTCATTTATTTTATTCTCCAACAAATTATAACCACGATTTGAAAAAATAAAATACATTAAGTGTTAAATTTAGAATATTTTAAAAATAAAAAAATAAAATTTTAAAAGAAAGTTTGAACCAACCATTCAAATTAGATCCAAAATCGTGAACCGACGGTTCAAAATAAAACTCAAATCGCGATTATATATACTTATATGTGAGAGTCAATATAAATGCGAAAAAAAACATACACTATTTGCAAATATTATAATTCTAATTTAAGCTATTGCTAGTAGTTGTTCCGATTTGAACCTCCGGTTCACGGTTCAAGATCCATTTTTTTCCAGTTTACGATTTTAATAAACGGAAACCCAAATATTGGGTTATGTTATGAATCATAACCGGAATTTTTTAATTTGATTGCTATAGTGTTTGGTTGAGTTCGAACCGAACCGGGCAATAATTTGGTGAAGAAGAGAAATAAATAAAATATTTGTTTTAAGGGTAGAAATGTCCATTTAATATTATCAGGGGGAAAAACCGCCACTTCTATAATAATTGAGGGGACAAATGTGAATGCATGAATAACTCAGGGGGAAAAAGTGCTATGAGCATATAACACAGGGGGAGAAAATGCCATTTTCCCTATTTTTTAAAAAAAATTTAAAAAGTGATATATACTCAATTGCAGTCAAATTTTACCCATAAATTCGGTTGGAAGAAAAGAACTAAGGGTGAAAAGAATTATAATTATGTGAAAAAAAAAAAGTTGAAACAAAGTAAAATTTGAAATTACATTATTTGATATAAGAATGAATAGAATTATTGAAAATGCAAAGAGAAGAAATGTTATAAAGATTAAAATGTCTGAATAATAATAATAATAATAATAATAATAATAATAATAATAATAATAATAATAATAATAATAAATGGTAAAAAAATTATTTTCTTCATTTTTCTCTTACCTTTTCTCATTGAATTACAATTTATATAGGAGATGATATGAATTGCAATTTAACAAAATGAGAGAATTACAATTCAAATCAAACACTATAATTCAGGTTTATTATGTTGTAATTGAATTACAACTAAATTGTAATTCGAACCAAACACAATAATTTAGTTATCCAAGAATTATGTTATAATTGAATTACGGTCCAACCAAACAATTTATTATAATCTGGAAAAAGGGAAACAGGTGAGGCACATGGCACGTGGCCTAGCAGTATTTGGCTTGTTTTCTAAGAAAGAGAGTCACGACTTATCCAAAACTCCAAATGGATAATGTCGCCACGTGGAAGTGATTCTCTTCCTTGTCATTTCACTCCTATAAATTCTGCAACAAACCAAAACCCATACCATATTCAGTCATCACAAATCACAATTCACAAAGAAGACAAACACACGTTTCTTTTGTTTCCTTTCAGAGCGTTAAGTTTTCTCATTTGAATTGCAAGAACAAGAAGGAGAAGAAGAAGAAGAAGAAAATGTTGGCAATTTTCCAGAAAGGATTGGTGGATCCACCAAAGGAGCTGAACAGCCCAGCCCCATCGCAGGCATCTATGGAGCTTGTGCCACCACAAGAGGCCATCACCAATTTCTTGTCTGCAAATAAGAGCAATGGGTTTTCTCTGGGATTTGGTGAAAAGGCATTTCTGGCCTATTCTGCTCAAGCTTGCTCAAATCTGAAGCAGCAGAGGCTGTTCTGTGGGGTGAATGACATATACTGCATCTTCCTGGGGAGCCTGCACAATCTGTGTTCACTCAACAGGCAATATGGGCTATCCAAGGGGGCTAATGAGGCCATGCTTGTGACTGAAGCATATAGGACTCTCAGAGATAGAGGCCCCTTCCCTGCACATCAAGTCCTTAAGGATCTGGAAGGCAGCTTTGGGTTTGTGATCTATGATCACAAGGCTGGAACTGTTTTTGCTGCTCTTGTAAGTTCAGCTTCAACTGATAATGAAGCATTTAATCAAATGGGAATTTTGAATTACTCACCAACTAACTTCTGGGTTTGTGGATAGGGTGCTAATGATGAATCAGTGAAGCTCTTCTGGGGCATTGCAGAAGATGGATCCATCATGATCTCTGACAATGTGGCACTCATCAAAGCTAGCTGTGCCAAGTCTTTCGCCCCATTCCCTGATGGTAAGTGATTCATGACTGACCGGCTCAAAGTACATAAACCAGTCTAGGTTGGTCATAGCTTGGTCATAGCTGATCAGCTCTTCTAAGAAGGCAATACCAACTTATAACCTTCCGTCTAGCCTAGTCTAGGTTGGTCATAGCTAACAAGCTCAGCCAAGAAGGTAATATCAATTTATAACTTTCTGTCTAGCCTAGTTGGCCATAGCGACCAGTTCAGTCAAAAAGGCAATACCAACTTATAACTTTCCGTCTAGCTTAGTCTAGGTTGGTCATAGCTGACCAGCTCAACTAAGAAGGCAATACAAACTTATAACCTTCCGTCTAGCCTAGTCTAGGTCTAGGTTAGTCATAGCTTACCAGCTTAGTCAAGAAGGTAATATACCTTAGCCGGTCATAGCTGACTAGCTCAACGAAAAAAACAATGCCAATTTATAACATTGTAGTTATCAAGACAGCAGTCTATGACCAGCTCAACGAAAAAAGCAATGCCAACTTATAACATTGTAGTTATCAAGACAACAGTTTGACCAACTTGGCTGAGTTGTCCCGTTACACACTAAATTTATGTTGGAAATGGTGTGGATACATTATATATTGATATGTGACATATATACTAATGGTTGATAATGGATGGTTGCAGGTTGCATGTATCACAGTGAAAGAGGGTTGATGAGCTTTGAGCATCCAATGAAGCAGATGAAGGCAATGCCAAGAGTTGACAGTGAAGGAGCAATGTGTGGGGCTTACTTCAAGGTGGATCATTACTCCAACTCCAAGGTTAACACAATGCCAAGAGTGGGAAGTGAAGCTAACTGGACTATTTGAGAACAGCATTACCAACCACACAAATCTGACAATAAGAACATAATGCTTTGAGTTTAGATTAGGTGTTTCCTTTGTATCTTTTGTTTGGATTTTGATGTTTATGGTGACTTGTTTCAGCAAATGTAATTTGTTCCCTTGAATGTAATCAATCGCATATTGTCAATTAATTCTATATATGTGCCCAGTTTCTTGAAAGGAAAACGCAATGCATATGTACCTTCAGAAATATACCAAGATTTAAATTTGTCTGTACATTTATACACACAACAAAGACTCCGCCAACCCTCACAAAAATCCTAGGATTCCAGACCTGAGTTTTTGTTTCTCCTGATGAAATGCCCAAAAACATTCTAAGCCGTAAATGTCAGCGCCACAACTGGGAGAAAGCATCGACTAACTGGCGCAAGCAAGCTTAAAACCAACAGGCATCTTCAATGCTGAAAGCGATATTTTCAAGGCTATACAACGCGAACCCATGTCCCACCGCACATTGGACAACCGTATGCCCAGCGGCTGATCCACCATGTTTCCCTCTCGTTATGATTCCCGGGAGTGGCGCCTGGTGGAGTAAAAGCGGAAGTCTGTCGCAGACATCTTATGCACTGCAATACACGAAGAACATTGTAAGTGGAAAAGGAAACCAAGATCGAGTCAGAAATCACAGTTCTCTTGTCAAACTAGTTTTGAATTTCTAAAGTCTAAACCAACCTTGTACCAAACTCCTTCAAGCCCGGTCTTCCAGATGGCGGTCACGACATCTCTACGAGATCCCATTATACCAAGATATGCACCCAGACCTACTGAAGTATTCAAGCCAAAGGCTGCATCTCGCTCAGACATTCTACGTTTCCTTGGCCATAAACCATGAGCTCCGTAGTGAACATCACAGTATTCAGATGAGCTACACTCGAGCAAGTCTCTGGAGGGGCTAAGTCTAGAGTTATCCAATGAACCATTATCCTCCGGATCAGACCAGGGACCACCGTACATATTCCTCCTGTGCCATTCTTCTGCAGGAGGATGGAGTTCTAACTCACGAAGTAGCAAACCTGCAGCATCTGCGCCTCTTGGCCGTGGCATATTCTGCTAGAAGATCGATAAGGAGAAAACAAATAGATTTTCAAAAACTAAAACAACTCACATAAAGACACAATACAGAGAAATTTGGTGCATACTCTGCTGCATGGAGTAGCACAGGATCTTATAAACACCATTAGAAGCCCGAGAGGGACATTATAAATTCACTTCTAACAGACTCCCGGCACTTGTAACTAGGTTTTCTTGGGTTAAAAAGTGGACTTTTTTTTTAATGGGAAAGCGAGGAAAGAAAGGTTCCTATGAGCCAAAGATGGAGAATGGACTGACACAGCGCAATGGGTAAAGAACAAAAACTGGATTGTTGGACCTTGGAGAAGAGAATAATTCAAATACGAGCTTCCTGGGTCAGGCTCAGATATCATGTGAAAGCATCCAAACCAAAATCATATGAGAACCTATTGAAGCCCTAGGACACACTATACATCTGTCTTTTACGCCAAAGTAGGAATAGATCCATCATAGAAGAAGTACCTGCATATGCGGGCCAAGGGAAGCTTCCACAACTTCTGGTAAAACAGTATAGTTCCCATCTATGTAATGAAGCCGAATCTGAATGTTGCTGCTCCCAACTTGAGAAACTGGCAATGGATGTGCCAGCCCTGCTGTCCGACGGCAAAGATCCATTAAAATAAGAAACAGAACCTTCACCTGCATAAAAAAAAAAGACATCAATGGGTCCATGATCCAGAAGGGGAAAAAGGCATGCACTACATGACCCTGATCTCCACTTATACAAGCCAAAGCATGTAGTAACCTCTAAGGACTGCCTTCATTTTTATTTTGATTTAAATAAATTCACGTCCACAGTCCATCCTATTCTCCCATCACCTAAAAGACTAGTCACAACAAGAAACTACTATGTATATAAATAAATCAAACAAATCTTCAAAAAGAGAAAGTTCAAGCTATTGCAGATAAAGTCCTCCTGATCATTTAACAAAGAAAACAAAAAAGAATTTAATTTAAATGTCTAAATTGGCGGTTTAAATATATGTTTTAACTGTATCAACACCACCAGAATATTTATGAGCTTAATATAGTTTAAGGCTGCTCAGTAACACTGATAACAATGAGGAGAACTTTCCCATAAAATACTTTTATCTCCTTCTGTTAACTGCAGTTAACAAAACTATCAGTGGTTTTACTTCTGACACATTCAAACAATCCCATTTGTAATTCAAGAAATGAAACCAAAGAAACAATACGGTACACTGGCCAAACCTTGGCTAGATCCAAAAACTTCAAGATACAGTTGGCCTTAAAAGTCACCAAATTCTAAATGGTAGGAGTTAGTTCATGATTTTATTATTAATATTTTAATAATTAGCAGTTAGCTTACGATACTTTCTTAAATTTGAACTCCAGCTTCTGAATCTCATCAATGGTTTAATTTCAGAATCACAACCATAACTACAATAACTAGCAAGGAGGGCAAATAGAATACCAGCACATAGATAAAAACTCAAGATTTTGAAGCATTAATTGCATGGAAAAAAAAGTTGAAACAACTGTGACGAAAGACTAATAGAAGTACCTCATCATATGTGTATCCTTGTCCAGCATTGCCAGAACCTATCCTTGACCGGTTAGATAGACCATCCTCAGATCCCTTTCCGCCAGAGCCAAGTTGACCGCCTGCTGTTGGTTTAGAAACAGAGTTGGATTCTTCTACTTTGGCAAGAGAAATGGGTTGAGGTTTTTGCATAGAAGAGTCACCTTTCTTTTGAATATACTGGGGCAATTGTGTTCGACGAAAGAAAAAACAGAAATGCAAAAGTTGACATAGTCGGTGAAGAAAATGGCAATCCCCAATAAGTCTAACTGCAGGAGTTCCTGGAAAAGTGCCAGTATTGATACTTATTGGCATAAGAGTTGATGGACCACTAATCGGGTTCGGGGCTGAACTTGGAACACTATCAGCAGTGCTACTAATCTTAGCTATAGCACCCTGTACCCATGCTTGCATCTGTGTACTTCCAGTAGAACTTGCAGTGCCACCTTGAGCCCCTATATAAAGGGCAGACCGTTGACAAAATATATCAAGTCAACAACAATTCAAAGGAATCCAAAGATGGTTGAGATAGACCCTCTTAAATCAAAGAAGGGTCACTCTGCTTTCATTTTCTGAAAATAAAACCTTTTTAAAATAATACAAATTAAAAGATGCTAAGCACATGCACACTGACCCTGAGTTGTTGTAGGAGGAGCAGAACTTTGGATAGGACTGCTCACCATATTCCGACTCCCACCGGTGCCTGCAGTAACAGCATGACTTGCTAATGTACGGCAAAAACTTGCATAACGCCGCAAACGTGTAATAAAGTGAGATGCTAGATCAAGTATTGCATCAACATAAGCCTGCATTACATTGCTCTGAAAATTACAACTCAATCCTAGTCTTTGGAAACTCTTTTCGGGGGGGGGAAAGGAAAAACTTCACAGAGAGAAGCCAACAGAATTTATATAAGATGAATATTATATGAGACCTGGATACTTGGAACTAGAAGTGGATCAACAGCCATTGCTTCAGGATCAGTACCAAATAGTGTTTCGCTTGATGCTTGCCATGGTTCTGGGAACAAAGCTGAAGGATTCACTAAAGCTGATTCAATTCCTTTGCCAAGCATATCCAATAGCAACCTTGCTTGCATGTCAAGTACCATAGCCCTGACTTCTTGAGCATTTGTACCTTCTAGAAGCCTACATTTTATCCTGTCTAGACTCTGAATGAAGCCAGGATTTTATAAGAACCAAAAAAAAAAGCCAGTAAGGATCTCGTCTCCTAAAAGAGTAAAGTACAATCTATGTTCACATGCATTTATATGATCAAATCAATACAAACAAATTAAACTTCCACATAGAACTGATAAGTGATAACGCGAATTATTGTTTCAATAATTAGTTTATGGAGATGCCAATATGTAAGTGAAACATACAGGTCCATATTGCTGCCTGTGGTGTGTAGAGGGAAGAGAGTGGAAGTCTGCATCCAATACTGCAATGACACTGTTCAATGAAACTGAAACAGAAGAAAACTTTGTAAGGATGAGCCGGTTCAATTGCAAAAGTGAATTATGCTCTAGTGAAGAGGATACTGGATACCAATTGCAGACAGGTAGAATTGTAGAAATGCAGAATAGTATTACCCTGGCTCTTTAAGTGCCGCAATAGTTATGAAAAAAGAAAAAATAAAAACACAAATGTGCAGCACATGCAATCTGTTTCAAGTTGAGTAATTATATAAAAGGATTACTATAGCAACTAGAAACAAAAAATGTGCAACTCATACAAATTGTACTGCCAGACAGATTATCATATAATGAAGTTCCATATTTACCACAATAAATGATTTGTACTGCCAGACAGATTATCATATAATCAAGTTCCATATTCACCACAATAAATGATATCACTGAAAACAACAATCTTATATTAATGATGATTATTAGATGCCAGATGTTTAGGAAATGCCCCTCTAGAAACAGGATAAGACATACAGAACCCCAAGGGAATTTGAGGATAAAAATTTGAATGAAATATTGATCAACTCTTACCAATGCCATCTTCTGCAGCACTTTGTGTACACCCAACAGCATCCCACCAATCAATCCCCACTAAAAGACTCCACCAAAATCTACCAAATAAAGCAGATCATTTAGTAAGCAGTAGCATTATTTAAAATAATAATATTATTATTATTGTTATTTTTATTATTATTATTACAATAATAATAATAATAAAAATAATAATAATAATAATAAGAAGAAGAAGAAGAAGAAGAGACATCAATGTAAATCATGCACCATGTATACAATTGAAAATCAAACAAAAGCTATAGCTCCAAAATACCTCTCTGCAACAGCACGTTCCCATGTCGCAGAGTTAGCTTTCACCTGATTACTAGGAACAGCAGGGGGCAGAACACGGATTATCTTCAATATGGAACAATCCTTGCTCGTATCATGCCAAACAGAAGCTGAGCAACAACTGGTTGAAGAGAAAGCAGGAGCAGCGATTGCAGACCCAACATTAATATGGTAGCTGTCAACAGCGGTGAAACTTGAACCTGAGAATACATGAACCCCTCCTCGTAAAAAAGCAACTGCGATTTCACCCCCATGAGCAGAATAAACAATCCGGGCAAGGGTTCTAATATCACTTGGAAGATCAAAAGGATCAAAAGAGACCCTCTTTGCCATCTCAACAGCACTGTCAGAAACATTTTGTACACCAGACGCAGGTATGGCTCCTGCTGCTCGGGGACACTTGAAATCATTAGATGCTGGAATGCATTTAATTACTTTACTCACCCACACTGTCTGCTTTGGTGCCTGACCACCAAAACTGGATGTGGGATTACCAAATATTTGATGGAGAACAACATCCTCCACAGATGATTCCCAACGTTGAACTCTCCATCCCGTGATTGAAGGGCCTTCATCAGGATCATAAGGGGACATGTATTGTCCTGAGTAAATAAAAATGAGAAATAAATTAAAGAACACAGGAATATGGAACATTCACTCCAAAGCAATTAGTAGCTGACTAGATCCATTTATTTAGATATTAAAAATTTGTTACCCAGTTTCAGTGAGACGCCAATGATTATAAAGATGAAGCAACACAGAGATCTAAGTTAGTCCCAGGACAAAAGTATAACTAATAAACCAGAATGTATGGTATGCTCAGTTTTTGATCACCAAAGGTAAGGCATGCAGGGAGGAAAATAGAGTAGTTCTCACAAACTAAGAAGCATGTAACCACTCAAATTATTAATTACGGAGTAGTTCACAATATTATGACAATAAAACATCTTAATTAGTTCACACTTCAAAATAGTGAACATTTACTTTAAAAATAATGAACATTATAACCATGAATAATCATTATACTTATGCGATACACCTATAACTAACAATTTGAGAAAAAGTTAAGAGGAGATATGAAGAGCAATGAGATTATTAATATGTGCAACACATGTACACTTTACAAGTTCCAGAAAAATGCTGTAACAAAAAGCATCATCTATAAGATACACACAACAAGATGTATTGCAGAGTCACCAAATGCACTCAGCAAGTAGTAAAAACAGATTATAACAAGAATGAACCATACCCTCAACTATCACAACAGCTATCACATAACCACCACGAGTAGGATCAAATGCAACAGCAGTGACACCAGAACCCCATGTAGTGTTAGCAGCTGACTGAGCTGCAGCCTCAGGACTCACATATGCAGAAAAGTTGGAAACTGGTGAACAATGAAGAACTACCATGTCACTGTAGTCTTGCTCTGTATGTTTCTTCCCTAGTTTTGCTTCTTGTAATAAAAACTCTTGCCAGCTAAACAAATATGCAGCCAGAGGAGAAAAACCATCCCATGAAGGAGGATTAAGTGATGGTGGAACCCCATTGCTCACACTTGCCTTCTGAGTTGCTTGAAATCCATTCCCAGAACCAGGTGTAACCTCCCAAACAACTACAGTAGATGGATTCACAATTGGAACACCTGCCACATGCATGGCTCCAGAATCTGTTATGATAGCATCTGCAGCCATGATGCCACTGGGTCCAGCTCCCAAGAGCCCTTTGCTTGTACAAAACCACTTTGATGGTTCACCACTCTGATTGGGTGGCCATTGTGACCAATGGAGCTGAACAGATCCTGATGAGAAGACAGAGCATACACACAGAAAATTTGGCCATCCAGCTGCATCCAAACCAAGCAACTTCTATTGATTAATGGATTTAAGTAAAGAAACCAGAAGGGATTAGAACATGACCCATAAAGAGTATAACTCTAGCAGTGAAGAGAAGAATACACTATGGCAATCTATGCAGATCATAGAAGTGTACATAATTTTCCAAATTATTTAAGGATCAAAAACACCAAAGTTTACAGGTGTTGGAGCCAGTTAGAATTCACACTTTCAAAAAAGACAAGGTGTCCTAAAAAGATGGTCATCCCAGATACAACCAAAAAGCAGATGAAACAAACAATGCAATCCAACAACAACACTTAGCTCCTCCCTCCATCCCTCCCCCTCTCATTGTCTAGAAAAGACCCTCAGACAAGGAAAATTGGAGAAATCTGAGTCTACAAATGAGTGAATGACAGGTAACCTTAACTAAAAAAACAAATGTAATGTTACAGATTGATCTTAAAACTAAATTTGAAAGGGTGGGGGGGGGGGGGGGGGGGGGCTTGTATCTGCATTCTTATCAGAAATGCCAAGAGAGGACCAAGATAAATTCTGACACTACCAATAAATTATGGAAAAGATCAGCTTATGCGAGTCCTGCCAAATCTAGCAGAAATAGAAGGGAAAAAAAAAAAAAAAAAAAAAAAAGATTTGTCCATGAACTAGTAAATCAAAAAAACAGGACAATTCATTCATTTGAGATATAATTCCTTCCATCAATTTCCATACTGACCAACGAGGGAGAAAAAACTCAGAATAAGCTATTCGGTAGCCATTTAACAGAACTAAGCAATAAACCAACCTAAACCAGATACATTGCTATAAATTGCTAGCGAAAAGGAAAGCATATAAAGAAAAAACCTGGAGGTTGTGGTTGCTGGGAAAGGAATTTCTCCTCAAATATTGACTTAGAGGCATTACCAGACCTTGATGAAAGCCACCTATACTAATTTTATACAAAACCAAATAAATTTAAGAAAACATGAAAAATGAAATATGTTTCAAACAAAAGAAGTATATTGTAATTATAATTGCATACCGGAGACACCCCTGACATCCACTTAGTTACAACTGCAATATCCTGCCGCCATTCATATTCTTTCTGCCAACAGCTAGCATCTCTTACCAGATTAACCGGACCCTGAGTGACCAAACCAAGCATAAAAAATTACACTTGAGAGGGGGGAAAAAAAGAAGTTGAGCAGTATTAAAATATATGAAGTTATATCTAATAAGTTTGTCCAACTAGAAGCTAGAGAAGCTATTTAAGAAAGAACTAAATAGAGACTTAACTCCATTAAAGCAAACTTACTTGAGAAGGTTGAGTCCAGATAGTTATTCTTCCATGGAAATTAGCAATGAGAAGAGCACGAGGACAAGAAGTAGGGGACCACTCAATAAATTGAACCAAGTCACGAGGTGAATCTGTATAAAAAAAAAAAAAATTTTTAAAAAAAATCCAAAGCAACATATTAAGTTGAGTTGTAAAGTAACAACAAATATGCGGTCACTGCAGTATCAACATACTAAACACAAAAGAATCATTAATCATCACTTCAAACAAAGTTCATTTGAAGCCAATGGTAATAAAACCAATTAAGCAGCTATCAACTAAGCACATACAACAATGAATTGGCATGCATGAGAAGTTGCAATGTATAGTAAACTATCACTATGCCCTGATGATTCAGAAGTTATTTCAAGTTTATGGGCCAATACATCAAGGCAAAAGCCGTTTACCAATTTCTCATTAGAGAATGTTCAATTCCAAAGCCAGTTATTTAATGAATGTTTTCATACAATTACAGATTTTAGCACAAGTAATGAGTCCGCCATATGCAGAGTAATACTTTTGGATTAGCACACAAAACCAAAGCAAACAGTAAATTACTAAATTTTCATCAAACCAAATGATCATAAGCATCTTTAAACAAACTCTTCTCATCACCACACCAAATTTTAGGTAAGTGCCACAGCTGAGCCACACAATGACACTAGAAAGGTTTATTTCAATACCTGCAATAACGTTAAAAACTGTGCATTCAGTTGGACGCTCTGGGATCACAATATGTATGGGGATCCAAAACGGTGGGTTTGCATTTGAACTGTCCCATAATCAAAATAAATAAATGTTAATGTTAAAGCACCAATTATATACAAAAAGATTTTCAAATTTTAATAAAGAATGAGTAGGTGAATTTTTTAACTATGAACACCTTAACATTGGATTTTGCTTATTTTGATTTTTTTTAGTTCTTGGAAAGCATTGAGCCCCTTGCACTTGTTCATTGCTTGGGGGAAATGGAAATGTTCAACTATATGCCTTTAATGTAAAATTATGAGTTAGCCAATACATTTTCTTTATTTTGATAAGGGAATAGTGTGCGTGTAAATGTGTATGCATATTTATTATACGATTTACTGTAACAGATAAATGCATCAAAAAGGATGCTCTGACCTTGGGATTCTTGCACAAGTTTCAGATGCACATGCTATGGCATTCAGCTTTCCACACCATGCAACAGCACTAGGTAAAAACAAAAAAAAAAAAAAAAAAAAAAAAAGGAAAATCAAGATGGATAACAATATATCTCATTATACAAGATACAAAAAAAAAAAAAAAAAAAAAAAAAAAAAAAAAAAAGGCAAGAGGGAGGTAGCATTGCCAAATAGAAATGTTTAGAGCTTGTTCAACCCAACTTAAGCTCCTTGAAAAATATGTTTTTTTCCAGATTATCTAGCCTTAAAATCCTTCTCAATTTCTTAGTGCTTGACATTGGTTTCTACTTTTGCACATCCTTGATAACTAAGGTAAGCAATAGTATGTCATTCATTCGTAACAGAAACATATTTTTGGATTGAATATAATTCAATAGGTAACTGAGTAACTCCCAAATGCGAAAGGAATCTAAAGAAGATCCATGCCATTGTCAGAACTAACATAATTTACCCATTCCCATTTCCATAGCTAAAATACATGGCTGTTCTAAAAGTATAGGCAAGTTCCATGTTGGAATTGTGAATAAAGTCCATCACATAAATACATATCAGTACTTGACCCATTGCAAATCCAGAAAATATATCCATGGTACAGTTACCAACAAAAAAAAAAAAAAAAAAAAAGTTAAGGTCCTTCAATTTTGCAATGGAGCAGTTTCACTCATTTATCCTCTACTTTGTGATATGCATAAAGTATCCAAGAATTTCATTTCTAATATAACTCAGAAGGCACCCCAAATTAATCAAAATGAATGAATTAAGGTCAATATTTTGTTTTTGAAGCTGAAGTAAATTGTTTTCTGCCTTGTTCAAGTGGAAATTCAGTCCAGATCAAACTCCAACAATTCAAACTAAGGGAAACACTGAACATCACCTGAAATTACGACAGAGCTCCGGCACACTCATTTTATGCAGCAAGTTCGACCTAGGCTGTTTAAGCCGGATGCAAAAAACCGTCGCGGGACCAACTGGATCCTCCTCCATGGGATCATCTGCTGCTGCTGTTGCTGCTACCACCGCCGTGGCCATGGCAGTGTCCTTGTCCGTCACCCCCGCAGCTCCAACACCGTCCTCGGCAATTTCCACCTTGTCGGGAGACTTGGAAGCTTCAAGAACTGCGTTAGAGTTAGCGGAAGAGGAATCCTCCTCAGAGTCCTTAGTAGCATCTGCTGGTGCTGGTGGAGCAATTGGATTGGTGGTCATTTGAATAACAAAATGAAAAGACCAAAAACCCTAATATAAATTTTATATATTATTGGACTTCTGTATGTATAGAGAGAGAAAGTGGTGGTGCCGAAAGTCTCCAATTGAAGGCGACAGGAAGCACTGTGACAGTGTATGAAAGAGAAGAGTGGGGTTAGGGTTTGGAAATTTTGGGGGCGTATAGACAACTGAGGTCTGAGGAGATTCCAGGTACTGTTTGTGATTTTTTTATTTTTTTTTTGTATTTTCCTTTTACCATAACACTCTATATAAAACTCTGCAATCGAATTTTGTATTTTTTTAGTACTATTAACTCTATTATAAGGTAATATATGTTCTATATTTTTTATCTGTTACAATCTGAATAGTCAATATCCGATTAGGTTCAATCCTGTAACATTCTCTTAAAGAGAGCCATACAGGTGTCATCAAACTGCTCGGCAAGAATATGTATTTATTAAGGAAAAATTTTTGAAATTTAAAAAAAAAAGAAAGAAAAAAAAAAAGAGGCAAATTGATGTCAGTGTGTCTTTGGAAGGGGGACAATGGGCATATTGCTTTAAAAAGTGCTCTTTTTTTATTTTAGGTTTTCTTTAAAATGTTGGTGTGGGTTAGTTAGACTGTTAGTTAGCTTTGGATCAGTTTTGTATAATGTGATTAAGCTATGAAGTCTTATTGTTAGTTGAGAGAGTTCCTAGCCTTGAATTAAGACTTTTAAGTTTCATGGTTAGTAATTATAGAGTATAATTTAGAACTATAATCTCATATTAGAAGTTCAAGTTTCACTGTAATTATATTTCAATACTTAAAAAAAATGAAAAATCAACTACAAATATCATAATTAAATCGCTCTAACACACTTTGCAATCAAAATAATCCCAATGGAGACATTGAAAACGGCCCAAGAAGATGACTCGTAACAAGATAAATGACCGACCTAGACCGAGATAGACGAACCAAACCCAATATTAGGGATCATGGACCCAAGTTTGGCAACCCGGACACGGCCTCCGAAGTAGGTCCCGGAATGGCGAACTTTGACGTGATCTCACAACCCACTCTGATATAACTAGGTTGTCCTATCCTAGACAGCTAGGTATGATTCATACACAACTTCCTTTATAATATTATTACATGAATCAAGTAAATATTATTACAATCATTTACCTTTACTATTTTACACTATTTATTATTTATACAAACTTACTTATTTGTATATCCCATATCAATTTGTTCCATCAAACCCAAATATATAAAGCATGAAATTCAAAACAAACAAAACACAAACTATGAATCATGTGTCACCGAATATTCATTACAAAATTTCGCTTTCTCATCGAATATGAAGCATGCAACAATTTCATTTGCTCCCTACTACATATACTTTAGAATGATATTAAGTGAAAATATTTATCATTGGACATATAATTCAATATACTCATTAATTTACACAATCATCCAGAACTTACATACTTAATTTCTTTTTAAAAAGTCATATTACACAATAACTAATAATTACATGTGTGTGCGTGAGTTGAGGTAACAAAGAAAATTCACATCCACTATCTTATAACTAGAGCCGTCAAAATGAGTTTAACTTGCCAAGCTAGATCGTCCGGCCTTGCAAAAGTGATAGAGTGGGCTCAAAATGTTATGACCTGTTATATATATAAGTATATTAGTTTGGCTGGCCCGCCATGGCTAGTAGGCCTACATCGGGGCAGGCTTTGTTATAGCATTCCCATTAGGGGTATTGTTCACGATTTTTTAGGAGAAATTGTCACATTGGATGAGAGAGAAGCATGTGAGAGAATGCTAGAGGTCCTGCTAATTTGGAAATTTTGTTAGTTTGTGGGGTCCAGCTGTGAAAAAGGAAAAGCCGCACGCCATGTGTGTGAAGAATAATTCGCGCCCAGCCTGGCGCGTTAGTTACTTTTTTTTTTCTTTCCTAATTCAGCTTTATTTTGTTTTCTTTTCCTTATTTTTTATTTCCCCTCATTCTCTCTTTCCTAATCACACTTACAAAAATTCATCAAAAATCACATCAAAATTCCCACTATTGAGGATGCCCTTAGGTCCACCAAATGGCGGGCCCCACCATGTCGTCCCGCTTTCACAGTTCTACTTATGATGTGTGCTAAGTAAACCTCGTTATGGTGTAATAGTCTATAAACTACACATGAGATGTGAAACACATTAGGAAGATCATGTGCGACGAACTCGAGAATGTGTTGACAATATTGAACTCGTTACTTTCAAATATAATAATCATACTCTATTCATACTCGTAAAAATAAATATTCTATCAATTAAAAAAAATCATACTCTATCAACTCAATCACTTCTATCAGAACATGATGTATAAATTTTACATACAATTAGTATTGTTTTCATAAAATAAAACATGTCTGACTTTTGATGATTGGTGTCCAGCAGTACAAGAATGATTGGGAAGAATGTTGTACAACTATATATCCACAGAGCTGTAATTAGTTAATAATATTAATAAGGATTATTCAAAAGATGAATAGGAAGGTCAACTAAATCTAACTAGATTGGAATTGAATGAGTCGGAGACAGGAGAAATGAGAAAAGTAAAAAACATAGAAAATTGACTGAACGATGATTATATGGTGTGACCACATGCCACTTGAGGCGTGAGTGCGTAACGGCCAATCCTCTTTGGAAAGATCTACGGACGGACTAAGAATAGTAGGCGTAGCTCAGTACACAATATTAAACGGGAAAATGACGGCAGAGCTACTTATGTCAAACGTTATAACGTGTTTGTCTAATTACCTCAAGTGCACGGCTGCGTCACCCTGATATCACGCTACTGCCTCATATATATTAGTGTGAAGTGGTTTTTATATTTGTGAAGAAAAATGTTTTTTTTTTTGGTAGAAGGGGGTTACCCAGCTGGTCTAACGACTAGCACATTATGGACTTATCATCCATACTCAGCATATCATGTATTAAGATATTGATAAATACTCCGTATTAAGATATTGATAAAATTTATTTTAATTTTAGAACGTTCGATACAATTCCTTTTTTGTTGGTACAAACTATAAAGTAATTAAATGATGCTATATTAGTACCCTTACTATCATAGTTTATATGTTATACTCACTATTTATTACTCAAATTAATATTTATTTATTTATTTTAAATTCTTTTACATAATTTTCAAATTCAACTTTGAAATTTAACTTATGACATGTTTGGAAACTTGGAAAATTTATGAGTTCCCAGTGTTTGACAAGAGGGAAAAAATAATGCCATCAACGAAAAATGTGCTCTTAGTCTATGGAAAATGGGTATGTTTTATAGGAAAATGATTTTTATTTTTTATTTTTTTATTTTTGTTGGGAAGATATTTTCAAGTTTTTGACCAAGCTTTGCCATATCTCTACAAACCAAGCTCTGCCCTCTCTACCAGACCAAGCTATCAGAAACCAGTTTGGCTGACGGGTTTTGGAAACCAGTCGCCCAGACTAGTTTCCGGTGCGACACCATTCTGGTCGACTGGTTTTTGAGCGGTGATTTTGTGATCTCTCCTTGGTTATTTTGTTTTGATTTTGATATGCTCATTTTTTGTAAAAGTGAACCAAACACACAAAGACAGTTTTATGCTGTGTAGCCAACCATTAAAAAGAACTCATTCTCCATAAAATATTTTATAAAAGTCATTTTCCTGCTTTCCAAACGGGCCCTTATAGACTTGGAAATAGGAATAGGTGATAATTGGTAAGTGAATTGTTAATGCAATTACAATGCTGAATAAAGTCAAACTCTATGATTAAGACCCAAGCCAAATTTAAATCAGTTCCATAGTGGTAAGAATACTAGATGTCATATGTAAAATGAACAAAAATTTACTACTTTTAAGTTTTAAATATATACAATTATTATCAAAGACTACAATAAATTAAATTGTAAATAGTTTTAGTCAAAATTCACAAATAATCGGATAAAACGAAAAACATACTCCGTATAAATTACTAGGAATATAACATTATTGTTCTAGAACTACGGAGTTAAATTCGTGGTTAGGTTGTTGTACTCAAGCAAATGGATGTAAAATAATGAATACAACAAATAAATATAGAAAATGCAAAGGATTTCAAAATTCAAATGGAAAGATAACGATCCACTGGTCAACCATAATTGTGAGATCTAATTGTACCGACAAGACAAGAGAAGATAAGGCCCTCAGGTCTTTTTCACCCCTCACCAAAAACCAAAACTGGCCGGCTTCCATTTTTCTAACGTGGGAAATGGGAATATGCAAAGATAATCGCACAACTATGATTAATTAGTCAAAGGTCTATCAACTTAATTTCCTTCTTTCTAAAAGAGTTAATTACCAAAATCTCATCATGACATTTTCTTAAATTGGTTCCTTGATTTTTATTTGTACTGAATTTTAAGTCAAAGTGATCCTCCGACTTAATATGTTTGATTAATTGGAAACAAAGGTTCTGTTTTGCAAACCTAGCTGAAAAGTTATAAGCTAGGAGCTGAAAGTTGAAAATGAGCTGAAAGTTGAAAAGCTATAAGCTCGGAGCTGAAAACTGAAGAGATGTTAAGCTAGTTGTTATGATTGAAAGTGTTTGGTAAAATTAGCTTTTTGATAAGCTGATAAATGTAAAAAGACTAAAAATGACATCTTCATAAAATTTAAATTAGTTTGTTTACATATTAAAATTTAACATTTTGTCTTTAAAAAAAATTAACATTTTGAAATAAAACTATTAGCATAATCATGATCTAGCATCTCATAATGAAGTAACAATATTGTTGCAAATCTCATAATAATAATAATAATAATAATAATAATAATAATAATAATAATAATAATAATAATATTAATATTAATAATAATTGCAGTGAAAGTTGTGGATAAAGGAGGAGAGAAAATGGTTTTAAGTGTGAAGGATAAATTATGTTATTTCTTTAAAATAATAAAGATAAAGATAGAAAACAAGTTAGGAAGCTAGGAGCTTATTTTGAAACATTATTCCAAAATAAGCTCTTATTTTAAGCTAGGAGCTTATTTTGGAAACATTATCCAACAGAGCTTAAAGCTTATTAGTAACTTAAAATAAGCTATAAGCTCCTAAATAAGTTCTGCCAAACAGAGTCAAAATAGAAGATAAAAAATGAGAAACAAAATAAACAAGAGAAAAATGGGATGTATCTCGAACTTCTTCCAATAAATAAATATAATTTTCAAATGAAAATATATAACTCTAATGAAATGTAAGAAAAAGAAACTTCTAAAAAAACTAAAATTTGTTTTATATATAATATATAATACGATACGATACGATACAATTTATGATGAGTGTTTAAGTTATAATAAATTTTGTGAGGTTTAACTCCATGGTTCTATATTCACAAAATTCATCATGAGCGATGAAGACTCTCACACAGAATAAATGACTCAAAAAAAATATGGGAGTTTAGAATTAGTTTTTAAAATTAAAATGTAATGGTATGAAATAAAAATTGTAAGAAAAATTGTAATAAAGTATGATTATTAATGAATGATAAGTACAGAAGATTGAATGACTCATTATTAGCTACACGCAAACAACTAACTAACGACGACTCCTCTTTTGTCACAACCGCAAAACTGCGATCACACACCCCCTGAAGTGCTGCAAATTGCAATCCAGTACACGAGGTCACTGTCGCCTTGTCAACCTCAAAGTCTTCAAATTCCACCTTTCATTTCAGACAGATATACATAATTCAACTCCAATCACGACAACCTCGAACGCAGAGGAAAATTTAGCTCTTCACGGTTTTTTTTCGTTGTGTTCATGTCGAATGTGTGATCAGAATCGGTAGTTTTTTTGCTGTATTAACGTAATGAGTTGTACCTGCTTTGGTGCATCGAGCGTGCGCCGCAATAGGACGGGAAATTTGGCCCAGCAAGAATCATTCGACGCTGGAGGTTAGTTTAATTTCTTCCTGGCAAAATAATGGGATTTAGTTGCCGGTCTTCTTGTCGGGAAGTTTACTTTTTGCTTTAATTTTATGGTTTCACAGATAACTCGATTGCAAGGACGAGAAATTTCTCGTATGATGAGTTAAGAACTGCGACGAATAACTTCGGACAGGTTAATAAGATTGGGAGAGGAGGTTTTGGGACAGTTTACAAGGTACAATTCTCTGTTGTTGTGTTCTCCTGTTATCAATTTATCGTATTATGATCACTTCTGATCTGCACGTACTCTGGTTTCAAATCTGTGTATGCTGTCAATACGGGCTGACGGGTTGAGGTGGGCCCGCAGGGCCAGGCGAAAAAACCCGTTCCTTGGCAGGCTGTTATTTTCAAAATTCACCCCTACCTAAATAGGCTGTCAAAATTCCTTGGCAGGCTGTTATGTTGATTCCTTATCCCTTTACAAGGTTATTGTTCTTTCTAGATTCTTATCCATGATCCCTCTGTTAATATGTTGATTCCTGAAGTAGCCAAATACTACCCAGTTTGCAATATTTCCTTTATTATGCATAGCAAAATTTGTATGTCAGCATATTGGTAATATGTCTTTTAAGTGACTATAATGGCTGGCTATGCAACTGCTTACATAGTTACATGTCTCTAATTCTTAACTATTTCAAAGGGAACCTTAAAAAACGGGCGACAAGTTGCTGTGAAGGCATTGTCTGCTCAATCGAAGCAAGGAATTCGCGAGTTTCTGACAGAGATTGAAACCGTATCGAATGCCAGACACTCGAATCTGGTTGAGCTGATTGGCTGCTGTGTTCATGAAAACAACCGGATCTTGGTCTATGAATATTTGGAAAACAGGAGCCTCGATCGAGTGTTGTTTGGTAAGTGGTGACAACTGAAAACCGAGTTCATAGTATGCAACAAAAACAGTACTAAAAACAGCGCTTATGTTTGCAGGTCAAAGCGGGGCTGTGAAATTGGAATGGCACACCAGAGCTGCGATTTGCGTAGGCACTGCAAGGGGTCTCGCTTATCTTCATGAAGAAGTCGAACCGCATATCGTGCACAGGGACATTAAGGCTAGTAATATATTACTCGACAAGGATTATACCCCGAAGATAGGGGACTTTGGACTGGCTAAGCTTTTCCCAGATAATATCACCCACATCAGCACGCAAATAGCAGGAACATGGTAACTCCCTGCTCGAGTTGCACTCGAAACCGGGTTCTTGTGTATGCATCTTCGTTTTTTTCAATATTAAGATGCCATTCTTATTTCTGACACATTATACATTCGTTTTTCTCCGTGTAGTGGCTATCTGGCACCCGAGTATGTATTAGCTGGTCAGTTGACAATGAAGGCCGATGTCTACAGCTTTGGTGTCCTAATACTTGAAGTTGTGAGCGGGAGGAGCAGCTCGAGCATGAACTGGGGAGGACAACAGAAAGCCCTTCTCGAACGGGTGGGTAAGAAGTAATCATTCGCGAATAACTGCACATTTGGATCTGGCCGTGCACAGAGCCCCACATTGAAAATATAAGAGATAACATATGAGTTTATAAGGACATGAGTTAGACTAGCTAATTGATTAGATTCAATCTTTTAGTCTGGCCTGGCCCTGAATAACCGTTTAGTCAAACAGGCATGGAACTTGTATGACGAGGGGAACATGTTGGAGCTGGTGGATTCAGAGGTGGAGAGATTTCCCAAGGAGGAAGTGTTGAAGTACATGAAGGTGGCCCTTCTCTGCACCCAAGCAAGTGCGAGCCGTCGGCCAACGATGAGCCAGGTCATCGACATGCTCACGAGAGACGTTCAGCTAAACGAGAAGGAACTCCGGCCGCCTAGCTTGTTCCAGACTTCAGACGACGACAAGCCTGTCGCCGCCTTGCTCTTGAAACAAAGACTAACCGAAACGTCTACTAGTTACCATGGGAGTTCTATTACCCTTCCAATCACTGAGGTGATCCCTAGGTAATGATAGTGCAGAATCTTGATGGTATCTTCAATTTACAGAAATGAGTATAGAATAGAGTTTTGTTATACTATGATTTGGCAATTGTCCATGGTTCTGTGACAGATTTTTCCTCTATAGTTCTATTAATTTTGTATGTTTTTTTTTCCTCATTCCATGCATTCATATGTCCTCTAGAATCAATGGAATTGCAGAATGGCAGTGAGAAAAAAGAGTGATACAAAATTTAAAACAGAAGATTTTGACAGGAAGGAAAGGATAATGGCAAATCCGGGTTCAAAATACACAATTTACATACTGAATGCTCACGGTATAACTATTGTTCGATCAATCATTATTGTGTTGACCATACTATATACAAATAATGTACTTTTAGTATATTAAAAATGTAAATTGTATTCATGAAAAATATATTATTTAAGTACTGAAAGTACATTATTTTGTATAATGTACATCTAATACATGAATAATGTACTTTTAGTATATTAAAAATGTAATTTTTTTTGTTATAATTCACACAGTGCTATGTGAATCATGGTACAGACAATAATTTGTCCAGTTGGATAGCAACATTCAATATGAGTTATATTTTATTTTCAGAAAAAGAATTAAGAAATAAAATCAATTTTATTGAACAAGTCTGGATTGGGCTTCCAACCCAATTGGTGTATAAACTTTCACAAAAGTCACAAACCAGCCCAGTGAACAGGCCCAATACATAAAGCCAGCTTATAAGAAAATTGGGCTTAGAAGACTGGCTGCTTGCCCAAAGCACAATTCAATTTTATTTTTTTTTTTAAACACAATTCAATTAGTTGATCAATTTAATAAATGATTAAAACGTATTGTACTAGTAATTACAGTGTGCTGGTTTCAGTGGTTTGAATCATATTGCTTTCATGATAGATAGCAATATAGATTTGAGTTGTTAAAGACACTAGATAAAATATATTTTGTGATTTACTCATTTACTATGACCTTATACAAGGTAAGAGCGTCGTCACAATATATAAACTAATAATTGAAGGGATGAATGAAAGCAATGCCTGTTAGGACTGATAGCCGTATGGTGAAGAGTTCATATCCGAACCCCACGTGGATAATAGGTTCCTTTTGTAGGTAAAAACATTCGGATCATGTTCCACTAGCTGTTACAGTATATCCAGCGATTTATTGATTTAGTTAACTTTAAGGGTAGGAAGTTATGAGTTGAGGAGAATTTTTTTGGATAATAAATGGTTTATCGTCATTACTCAAAGCACTAACATAAATTTTACTCATATATTTAGAGGCAGAGTCATGTGGACTTAGAATTAATCTGACGAAACTAAAATCACTTAAATTATGTGATGAATTGGATCAAGAAGAGTTTTAACGCCAAATTTATTTTTATTATTTTTTGAATATACAAGGTAGGTGGGGTCTAAACTAGACACACGCAAAACCTTGGAGTCTTGATTGAAATGCAGTAAAAATATTAGATCTGAGATCAAGGGTCGTAGAACTGCCACGTCATCGCGTTCTCTACGCGACTGGCTACACGGTACATGCTCCTCACACCAAATATCCAAACGTATTTCCAATTTCAGATAACAGAAGATCGGAATCTCCAACGTCTATTCAACATCAACGGTCCAGATCTACCTGCGTGCTAGTTCAAACACTGGACAGAACCGTAATTTCATAACTTCAAATTTAACGAATATAATTAATCCCATTAAATTAATTGAGAAAGCAAAACCTAAATACCTTTCACCAGCTCTGATCTTCGTTTTCGTATATTTCAAACCACTGTGAAAGGCATAGCGAGGGTCGCCATGAAAGCCTTCAAGAAACCCTAATTTCACTTCAATTTTGGATTTATTCTCCCAAAAGCGTCGCCTTTTTTGCTGTTGGGGAGTGGTTCTTTCAGTTCGCATCGAAGAAATTTTGAAATTCTCCGTTGCCGGAACGATGATAGTTCGAACTTACGGCCGGCGGAGCCGGGGTTATTCAGATGGTGGAGATGGATTTGAGGATGGGGATTCGCCTCAAGAAAGTCCACAGGATGTTTACAATTTTACGTTTTCATCCCAAGACTCCGGCCACTGGGCATCGTCGTTAAATAATTCAGATCCATACGGTATTGGATCGTCTCAGGAGTGCCCTGGATTGGCAATCTTGCCCTCGGGGAAGGAGGGCGATGGGGATGGGGATTTTGAGGATCGGAATGGACACTGCTGGAAATCCAAGAAGAAGATGAAGGTGTTTGATTGGGATCCCTACAGCTTGAATTCGTCGCAGGAGTCGGATGAAGTGATGATTTTACCGCCGAGAAGTGATAGGGATAGTGGGGATTTTGGTGGGGCTTTTGGGAAACCAAAGAAGGCGAAGACTGGGAAGAAGGGGAAGGAAAATGGGGCTTTGCAGAAGAAGAAAATGAGTAAAAAGGTTAAACAAGAGGAGTCAGCATCAATTGCGGCCACGTTAATGGAGACCCAAGAGTATGGTGAGATGATGGAGAACCTTGATGAGGTGAATTTTGCTTTGGATGGTTTGAGAAAGGGGCAGCCTGTGAGGATCAGAAGAGCAAGTCTGTTATCCTTGCTATCCATATGTGGTTCGATTCAGCAGCGCAGGCTTTTGAGAGCTCATGGGTATGTGAATTTTGCACTTTACTAAGTTTAAATATTTCCCAAAACTTTGATTTATTTCTATTGCACAAGTGTTCTTCCCATCAAATGCTGTTGTCCTTGAAGTTTCTTGGGTTTTTTCTGATCAAAGAACTCGTTCTTGGGAATCTTGTGACTATATGAATTTGAATTTGAAATTCTTCTTGAATCAAAATCGGTAGGAGAACAGATATCCATAGGTTCCCTTGACTAAATCATATTGTATTTCCCTAATATTTAGGTCTCTTGAAGAAGTACTCACTACTCAGTGTAGTTAACAAATATAATTAATTTTAGAATTTATTCATATTTGAACTTTGATAAATTTCCTCTCTGATAGATGTTTCTTTTCATTTCCTCTTTGGTACTTGTATTCTAGTGTTTTTTGGATGGCCAAGTAGTATAGTATTGAGAGCATCCATCACTCATTAGATACAACTGTTACAATTTTCACTTACATAAACTTATGGGGCTTAGCCATATGTTCTAATTCTTGAGGAAAGCAGTGAAGCAGAGGGTTTTTTAATTCCTTGTATGCCTTTGGATAAGCTTGTATATGTATAGGTCCTGTACTCTGGCCAAGTTGTGGAGATCTAGTTTTCAAATCCTTGTTCCCTTATCTTGCTTCATGTTTCAGGATGGCCAAGACAATTGTTGATGCTGTTGTGGGGCTCTCCTCTGATGATTCATCAAGCAACCTTGCTGCTGCAGCTCTGTTCTACATTTTCACCAGTGATGTAAGTTACATTTATATGTCTTTTTCCTTTAAAAGTTAAATGAACGCTACACTTGGATCTTCTAAAAATCATAACATTTTACCAGCAGAGTCTTATTCTTTAACACAAGCAAGAATTACGAAATTAGAGGTTTTTTAAAAGGGGTGGGGATATTTGTGGAAGAAGATTCACTGTGAAAAATAATGCTAAAGGTTAGAAGACCATTCCTATATGGATCTGCTGGTTTTAGTATTATGGTATTAATAAATCATGCACAATACAATATCAGTGCAAATAACTCATGTTTTTCTCACATATTTTCCACATTCATGGTCTTATAAAAGGACATGTTTCATTTCCAAGCAAAACGTCAATCTGATTACCTGCAAGATTTGTCCCACCTTTCTTTAGATTTTAACTCCTCTAAATATCACTTTGCAGGGACGAGACGACCATTTTCTAGATTCTCCAGGCTGCATTTGCTTTCTGATTAAATTGCTGAAACCAGTTAAGTCTGATGTTTCTGTAGCAAAGACACAGACAATTGGTAGCAAGCTTCTCGCAATACGCTTAGATGCTGATATTTCCCAAGATTTGGCAAAAGGAGCTGATTCTACCACAAATTCTATTATGCTAAAGGTTCAGGAAGTTCTTGTCAATTGCAAGGAAATGAAGCCCACGGGTGACAATAACAGAGCTCAGAAACCAGAACTTAATCCAAAATGGATTAGTTTGTTGACAATGGAGAAGGCTTGCCTATCTACAATTTCCATTGAAGGTATGATGTCCACTATGTTGTATGTCATGCATGTTTTATCTATTCCTATTCTATTCATTTTAAGTAATTTTCCTTTACCGTTGTAATCATGTATGTCTGTGGAAGTTTATTTAATAGCTTCTTGAAAACAGAAGTTTTATTTATTTATTTAATAAGTAATGCTTCTTGTCCATTATTTAATAGGAAAGAGTACAATATATATAATCTGGATGACAGAATCCAAGTAAATAAGTTAATGGTATGTTGACTGACAAAATCCCTAAACTCAGGAATTTTTTCTTGACTTTCCAACACTTCTGAATATGGATGCTATCTGAACTTGAGTTTCTTTAGGATGAATTTTGTTCATAAATTTACTGTTAGTATTTTTCTTATCATGCAATTCTGCATGCATTGAAGTCATGTCTTTTAGTTCATGCTGTGCTATTGATTGCTGGTTTTGTAAGATGTTCTCAAACCTGTTCAGTGTTTAAAAAATTTCCAGCATCACAAACATTATTATTCTTGCTTCAGTTTCTCCTTAAATAACAGCGGTGACTCTCTGTATGGGTTTAGGATGGATCTTTCATAAAGTATCTGGATGTTCATCCTCTCTGCAAAAAAATTGTTTTGATGTGTATAATATTTTGTTTGAACTTTGATGCTTTTGTTTGAATCATGATATCTTAGTTCATCAGTTAAATGCGTAAATCTATTATGGAAATCACAGACACCTCTGGCACTGTGCGGAAAAGTGGAGGCACCTTCAAAGAAAAGTTGAGAGAGCTCGGAGGACTTGATGCAGTTTTTGAAGTGGCAAGGAATTGTCATTCAGTTTTGGAGGTTTGACCTGTACTTTGTTTTCGTTGAACACAATCACTGGGCTTTTGGTGGTTATCATTTTTCATAGACTGCATGAAGATAAGTGCATTTGTTTGGCAGGGATGAAGTGCTTGAATGAGATGCATGTGTATTTATTTATATATTTTTTGCAGGGATGTTTGGAGGAGAATTCATCTTCCTTTCTGGATTCAAAAGGTACTACTGGCTTAGAAAGCCTGGTTCTGCTTTTAAAGTGTCTGAAGATCATGGAAAATGCCACATTCCTTAGTATGGATAATCAGGTAAGGAGGCTATAGAAAATAACTCTTATATACCATCTCTATGTTTGAAACAATATTTTTTATATTAATGAATTGCTCAAGGCTAGTTTAACCTTTGTTACTTCACCCCTTTTGTTGTAGAACCACTTGCTGCAAATGAAAGGAAAGCTCGATAGTCTGCGTTCCCCTAGATCTTTCACAAAGCTCATTTTAAGTGTCATTAGGATTCTGTCAGGTATAGATGTTAAGCCCTTTTTCTTGCTTTATACTTTGGCGGTATCTGCCTTCTGCTTTGGTTTTGTCTGATTAATTTTTTTGTTTAATTTTTATCTAGGTGCTTCCTTACGTAGACGTTCTTCAGAAAGTTTTCAGGATGAAAAGATTTCTGAACTTTGTGATAGGATTGGCAATGCGTCAAAGTCAACTTCAATAGTTGATGACAAAGGTACTGAGTTTAATATTTCGGAAAGTCTGGTTTTATCATCTTCCATACCAGAGTCAATTTTGTTATATATGTGCAGCAAATCACATGTTATGTTAGTGTTGAAAATTATATTATAGAGTCTATAGAATTCAGCCTACTATTTACATTTAAAGTTCATTGAATTATTTTGGCATAGCTACTGGGTAAAAGTAGTACTCGTATTATTTTCATTACTTAATATGCAAAATGACATTTACCTCAAAATTTTCAAATGATATATATATATATTTTTTTTGAAAATGTTGTAGACAGCAAGGAGATCTTTTCTATCATTTCCTCCGTGAGTAGTGAGGGGGCCTTTTCCTCGAAGTGGTTTACTGAATCTCAAACTGATGAACAGTTGATGTCTGATCAACTAGGTTCTTCTAAATCTATTTTGGAAGGTACAACCACTAGCGCTACTGATTCTTGGTGGTTGAAAACAAGAATCGACTCCTCTACATCTGGGTCATGCAGTGGAAGCTCTGGCCGTATTAATTCTGGAAAAAATAAGAACATAGCAAAAGTAAATACTCAAGATCCTTTTGCCTTTGGTGGAAGCATTAAGGAGCAGAAGCTTGAACTTATGGATGATACCGAAGATCCTTTTGCCTTTGATGAGGATGACGTTGAACCCTCTAAATGGGATGTACTGTCTGGAAAGAAAAAAGTGTCTCGGGCTCAAAATGGTAGGGCAACAGTTCATGTACGTGAAGACAGACCAACTCAGTCTCTATTGGGGCTGAGCCAACAAGAGTCAAATAACAATAATACCAGTAGTTCTTGTGAGGCTTCTTGTTCATCTGTTGCTGATGAAGAAATGTCCAACCTTCTGGCAGATTGCCTTCTTACAGCTGTTAAAGTAATTTTCTTGCTTGCTTAATGCTTATTTATCTTCCTTTATACTCTGAGACTCTGAGTAGTGTGGAGGCCTTGTGAACTGTGTCCTACCAATTCCATAAAGAAAGTGAAAATCGAGTTTCATGCATGATTTTTTTCTTTTTGATTGACAGGTTTTAATGAACTTAACAAATGACAACCCCATCGGCTGTGAACAAATTGCTTCATGTGGAGGTCTAGAAACCTTGTCTTGTTTGATTGCTGGTCATTTTCCCTCCTTCGGTTCAAACGTGGAGTGCGGTTTTTCATCTAAATCAGACATCAAGCAAATTGAAAGTACTCTCAGTGATCAAGAGCTCGATTTTCTTGTTGCTATTTTGGGTTTGCTTGTGAATTTGGTAGAGAAGGATACACGCAACAGGTAAATATTTTCTCAATGTGTCGAGCACTCGAGCTGTTAACAAAGGCCTGCTTGTGATGACTTCTTTCTGTAGTAATTTGCATTGGCCCCCTTTTCTTTGACCTTGATTTATCATCTTGTGTCTGTTTGATTATCATGGTTCTATTATAACTTCTTTAACTGTTTTTTAAGATTATAATGCCTAAAGAGCACCTTTTTTTTTTTTTTTTTTTTTTTTTTTTTTTTAATTTTTATAAATTTTAAATTTTTTAATTTATTTTTTAAATCTAGATCAAGGCTTGCAGCTGCTAGTGTTTCGTTGCCCGGCATGGAAGGTTTGAAGGAGAATTGTACAGATGTGATTCCATTATTGTGCTCTATCTTTTTGGCTAATCAAGGAGCAGGTGAAGCTGCTGGAGAAGGACAATTGACTTGGGTGAGTTGATTTCACTTTGCCCTAATTTATACGTGCTAGTATTCAAGATTGGATTGTAGAATTGGGGGCAACCCCGGCCAAGTTGGTCAGGTTGTTGGCTCGGTAACCACAAGGTTCCAAGTTTGACTCCCGGTGGGAACGGCTTATTGGCCTTCTTGGTTTGAGCCGGTCAACTATTGGCGGGCCTAGGTTGGTTTACTTCCTTGTTGGTCTTTTGCCGGCTAGTGTCATTAGCTGGGGTTTACCCAGTGCACACCCTTGGACAGAACCGTAATTATTTACGTCAATCCGTCATGTAACTGTTCCCCGGCTAATGTGAAAAGGTTATACTGTTGCACTGTACAGGATGACGAAGAAGCTCTATTAAAGGGGGAGAAAGAAGCCGAAAAAATGATTGTAGAAGCGTATGCAGCTCTCCTCCTCGCATTTCTTTCAACCGAAAGGTGAGATGTAGTTTCGCGATATTACTCCACCCCCACCAACCGGGGTGAATATTTTCTCATTGTGAATCTCTTTGTTTATATCAGTAAGAGCACCCGCAACTCAATCGCCAAATGTCTTCCTGATCGGAGCTTGGCTGTTCTCGTCCCCGTGTTGGAGAGATTTGTGGTAAGTGAATTTACGCCTCCCTCCCGAAATTAAAATTTCATCGCCTTTCGAATGTCTTACCCTATTTCTTGCAATGTCAATCCAGGATTTTCATCTCTCACTGAACATGATCTCCCCGGAGACTCACTCTGCAGTGCTCGAGGTCATCGAATCGTGTAGGATCCCGTGAACTAATACCGCGATTAGCATGGTCCCCGCGCAAGGATAACAAGCACAGATCGCGAGAAACGATCCTTTTTTTTTTTCATAGTATGATAGGATCTGTATATTCTGCGTCTTCCTTTGAATCCTTCAATCTTGTAATTATGGTTATATTTTTGATTCTTTTACTTGTTTCTCCCCATTTCTTGTATACGAACAAACACAATCTTTCAATTCTAACACTCGTAGAAGCAGTCGAGATTTCCTATCCCTTCTTCAGAACAATCTTCAGTGTGCTCTTATAGTTGCTCCCTTGAAATACTTGTTCAAATGGAAGCTTTGGGTTATCATTAATAATAGTTTTAATTATTAAAATTGTTTTAAGTTTTTGGGTTAATTAGTTTATAATGCAGGATTACAAATAACAATATATTCACTAAGCCTGACCAGAGTATCAAATTAAATTGTTACTCTTGACACAACTTGAGCAAAAAAAGGGGGAAATGAGTCAAATACACCTTCGAATTTTATATGAGAAGTTAATTAAATTTTTGAACTTATAAAAGTTGTAATTAAGCACATCAATAATGATTTGTAATAGTAGGTCGTTAGAGTCAGACAATGTACCTCCGAAAGAAATTGGCGACCGTTCGTTTGCTAATCGCTAGTTACCTTCTTTGAAGAAGGCGACCAACAAGTCACCTTTTTTGCAAGTCAAAGGTGACCGGTTGGTCGCCTTCTCCGACGTGGAAAAGACAATCACTATTCGTTCGCTAGTTACCTTCTTTGAAGAAGGCGACCAACAAGTCACGTTTTTGCAGGTCAAAGGTGACCGGTTGGTCGCCTTCTCCGATGTGGAAGACAATCAGGCAATGTACCTCCGAAAAAAATTGGCGACTGTTCGTTCGCTAGTTACCTTCTTTGAAGAAGGTGACCAACAAGTCACCTTTCTTGCAGGTCAAAAGTGATCGGTCGGTCGCCTTCTCCGACGTGGAAGACAATTAGGCAATGTACCTCCGAAAAAAATTGGCGACCGTTCGTTTGCTAGTGACATTCTTTGAAGAAGGCGACCAACAAGTCACCTTTCCTGCAGGTCAAAGGTGATCGGTTGATTGCCTTCTTTGACGTGGAAGACAATCAGGCAATGTACCTCCGAAAAAAAAAATTGGCGACTGTTCGTTCACTAGTTACCTTCTTTGAAGAAGGTGACCAACAAGTCACCTTTCTTGCAGGTCAAAGGTAACCGGTTGGTCGCCTTCTCCGACGTGAAAGACAATCAGTGGTCACCTTCTCCGCTGAAGAAAGTGACATACTAATTTTTTCTGAGGTTGTCGGAACTCTACCGACATGCTATTACAGATCATTATCATTTTTTTTTAAATTTTGATTGATATACTAAATTGTTTAATTAACTTTTAAAAATTAAATAACTTTTTTTTTTTTGAAACACAAAGAGCTAATAATACCTCCACTGAGGCTTGAACTCACAACCTTCCAAATGAAAGTCCAACCCGGGTACCATTGGACCACATAGTCCTGGTTAAAAATTAAATAACTTAATTGACTTCTCTTATAAAATTTAGGGGTGTATTTGATACTTTTCTCAAAAAATTTAAAACAATCCTAATATGTCTCTAAAACTTTTTTACCCTATTTAAATACTAATTTGTCTGGCGTTGTCTAAAATTAAATAATGGAATAAGGGTCAAATAGGCCATCGAACTGCACCTAATAATGCAATTAGGCCATCGAACTTTAAAAAGCAACAATTAGCTCCCTGAACTAACTAATTCTATTCAATTAGTCCAATTTGTAGGTTTTGGAGGTTATTAGCAGGTCACCCCTAATTTATAATATTTTTAAAAAATTATTATTTAAAATACTTATTTAAAATTAAAAAAAAAAAAAAAAAAAAAAAAAAGATACCGTCTGCCGGAGACGAAGAAACCTTCTTCGTCTCCGGCCATGGAGACGGAGTTAATTTCTTCGTCTCTGGCCGGAGACGAAGAAGGTTCCTTCGTCTCCGGCCAGAGACGAAGAAGTTAACTCCGTCTCCATTGCCGGAGACGAAGAAACTCTTCGTCTCCATGGCCGGAGACGAAGAGTCTCTTCGTCTCCGGCCATGGAGACGAAGATATTCTTCGTCTCCGGCCATGGAGACGAAGATATTCTTCGTCTCTGGCTGGAGACGAAGAATATCTTCGTCTCCAGCCAGAGACGAAGAAGATTTCTCCGTCTCCATGGCCGGAGACGAAGAAACCTTCTTCGTCTCCGGCGTGTCAATCTCTGTTTTTTTTTTTTTTTTTTTAATTTTAATTATTAATATTAAATAATTATTTTAAATAATAATTAATTTTTTTTTTGAAAAGAGGTAACCTGCTAACAACTTGGAAACCTACAAATTAGACTAATTGAATAGAATTTGTTAGTTCAGGGACCCAATTGTAGCTTTTTGAAGTTCGGTGGCCTAATTGCATTATTGAGTGCAGTTCGATGGCCTATTTGACCCTTATTCCTTAAATAATTAATAGATAATCAAAGTTGAGGAAACTATAAATTATTGTCGGGGGACCAAAAATGCAAATTACTCTCCGCAGAAAAGTTGAAAGAAATGAAGGATGCATTAAAAATTAGAGAGAATCCCTAATCCTGTAATTCGTCTCTTCGAGCTTCCGTCTCCCACTTACGAACTCTCAGGGAACAGCGTTACTGTTGGGGAAGATGATGACACTCGTCGCCTCAAAATCCTAGTGAAGAATCTATGAACCTGTCTCTATATTGAGGTATCTGATCCCTCACACGTTCCTTCTTATGCTTGTATGCGTAGATTTTTTTCGAATTTGACTTAATTTTTGGCGTTTCTCAATTGGCGGAGATGGTTTTGCAGTGTGTCGACTCTCTGGGATTGATTTCGTCTTTCGTAGCTCAATAATTCAAGTCTCTAAACTGTTTTTGGAGATTTTGAGTGCGTTATCGCGCAGGCATTTCGAGATCCGGTAAGGTTTTGTGATGATTGTGTTATGCATTCCGAACTCTAGCAGTACGGACTTTAATAACCCGATCATTCGTGCTAGGAAATTGTAATGCATCTAAGAGCCATAAACCTAATGTCTCAATACATGGAATTGTTTCTGCCGTTTGATTTTGTGAGTTTAGAAGGGGTTTATTTAATGAAGAGTTGGGAATTTGACTAGTATCCTAGTTAAAAGCGTAATTAACACATGGAATGAGTTGCAAATTTGTACAAACAATGATTTTATATAATTTATCATACTTTTATACTGTTAATTTCCAGCTTCTTGCACTTACCTATGATTGATTATAACTTGCATCGATTTCAGTTTCCTAGAACTTATTATTTTCTTTATTTTGTTGTTTTCCTAATAATTACAATCATGGTTGCCCTAGGCGGAATCTAGGCCGCGCCTAGCGCCTCGGCGGAATCTAGGCAGCGCCTAGCGCCTCGGCGGAATCTAGGCAGCGCCTAGCGCCTCGGCGGAATCTAGGCAGCGCCTAGCGCCTCGGCGGAATGGGCGCCAAAAAAAACTTGTAGTTTGACAATTTTAATGAGGTTGTTTTCAACATTCAATCAAATAACACATCGAAATAAATGAAATAATGATAATTCATAAGTCATTACATCAAAATAATAATAAAAAATAAAAATACTCAAATATGAAATACTCAGATACTTCAATCATCCAAAGATTCAAAGTATCAAACTAGTCTACGGACGGCTGGACACATCGGACTAAATCGGAAGAAATCGACCGACTTGGCTAAGTTGGCTGCCAAGGCGGCCGTCCGATTTTTGGGTGCCTAGCGCCTAGGCCGATTTGTACAACAGTGATTACAAGTAGTTGTTGACATGTGTATGCTAGTTATGCTTAGAGGAGATGGTATATGATTTATGATACATGATATATGAATATTTCTCTCTGCTTTGAGCTTTATATAGTGATTTAATTATTTTATTTCATTTTTGAAGTAACTAGTTGATTTTGATTGATCAATTTGCCGCTTGTTAGAATCTTTGGGGATAAAGCTTTTGGTTTTCTCCTTTAACACTGTTTCTCTTTGCCATGTTTACACTTTGATTTGGTGTCAAGAGGAAATATGAATGGTGGAAAGCATTTTAAGAAAAGGTTCATTTAATATGGCAATTGAAGTCCTTAGTATTAGCCTTACTTCTCACGCAATAATTTGTTAAAATCTGACTACTGTTTGAAAATATGCTATCGTAACATGATTGGATGTAATTGATCTTGACATTTTATTATTTTCCTTTTTTAGATTTTATCACTTCAACACTTTTTAATTGCAGTTTGCGTGTAGCGGAGATAATACTCATTCCCTGAATCCCTGTGGTAAGCATACTGGACCATGGCTGATTTAGATGATTTACTCCTGGAGGCAGCTGGAAGAACTAGTGGAAGTGGGAGGAGTCGTCATTCACCTAGACATAGGAGGCATCACAGAGATGATGGAAGCGACTCAAGGGATGATGATTCAGATGATGATCGGGGTTATTCAAATAGAAAACTGTCTGGCTCACAAGTTCCTCTCAAGAAGAGGTTGGATCCTGCAGAGAGAGATGATGATCACAGTGATCGTGAAGGCGAAGATGATGGTTTTGGTCGTGAGCGTGATAGTGATGATGATTCCATTGGGAGTGATCTTTACAAAGATGAAAATGACCGCCGAGAGCTTGCTCAGTTGACAGAGCTTGAAAGAGAAATGATACTGACAGATCGGGCAGCCAAGAGATCTGACAAACAGATGCATGATAAATTAAGAGGGAAGAGCAGCCAAGCAAGAAAATCAAGCCCCCCTCCGACACAATCTCGCGGTACACGCTCATCTACCAGAGCTCTAGGTCGTGCAGCTGATAGGGATGGTGCTTTGAATGAGATAAGAGCAAAACGGGCAAGACAGCAGGACTCTGAAACTAATTGGAAAACTAGAGATGCAGCTCGAAGAGGTTCTGGTAACAGGGGTTATTCACCTGTTAAGCGGAGAGCTTTTACTGCTGCAACCTTGGGGAGTAGTCCAAACAGAGCTGAAAGTGGATCACAGAGTGATGATGGAGAGTCTGGGGATGAAGTAATGGCTGATAGTGATGACGACAAGACTTCTCCTGACTCAAAATTGCCAACTTATGAGGAGATAAAAGAAATCACCATTCGACGATCAAAACTGGCAAAGTGGTTCATGGAGCCTTTTTTTGATGAGTTAATTGTTGGCTGCTTTGTGAGGGTTGGAATTGGGAAGTCAAAGTCTGGGCCTATCTATAGGCTTTGTATGGTACGTAATGTTGATGCCACAGACCCCAATCGTCAGTACAAATTAGAAAATAAAACCACATACAAGTATCT